GGCCGCCGCCGCGGGGCGCTCGAGGCCCTTTCCTCGCCGGGTTTCGGCGCGCGGGCTGCGTGACTTCACACCCCCTCCCTGTCCCATGTCCCTTCCCATCAGACAAGACTGAGTCAAGTTTAACCCCCTCCACCACTCCCCCTTGTAATTCAACCTAGGGCTGGGAGGAATAAATTTTGTTACTTGCACCAAGGCAGGTAAAAGTGTGCACCATCCACGGGAACAACCTGTGGAACTCCTTGCCAGAGGAGGCTGTGAAGGCTATTCACACCCCCTCCCTGTCCCATGTCCCTTCCCATCAGACAAGACTGAGTCAAGTTTAACCCCCTCCACCACTCCCCCTTGTAATTCAACCTAGGGCTGGGAGGAATAAATTTTGTTACTTGCACCAAGGCAGGTAAAAGTGTGCACCATCCACGGGAACAACCTGTGGAACTCCTTGCCAGAGGAGGCTGTGAAGGCTAGGACTAGAATAGAGTTTAAAGAGAAGCTAGATCATTTCATGGAGGTTAGGTCCATAAAAGGCTATTAGCCAGGGGATAAAATGGTGTCCTTGGCCTCTGTTTGTCAGAGGCTGGAGAGGGATGGCAGGAGACAAATCGCTTGATCGTTGTCTTTGGTCCACCCTCTCTGGGGCACCTGGTGCTGGCCACTGTGGGCAGACAGGATACTGGGCCAGATGGACCTTTGGTCTGACCCAGTCTGGCTGTTTTTATGTACATTAGGTGGTGGGGTATTTCAGGCTACCTTGTTCTGGACAGTGACTTGCCATGCTGCACGGGCGGAGGTCAAGGAGTGACAGCTTTCACATTGAACCCAAATAGCCCTTGTGGGAGGAGACCGAGTGTGTTTCGTTAACCTTCGGTGAGTCACCACATCAGGCCGCTGCATCGCCAGCCTCTTCCCCATTAGGGTCCTAGAATTGAAGAGTAGGACTGGAAGGGACCGCCACAGGGTATCTGGACAGTCTCCCTGCACTCAAAGCTAGACTGTCTCTCCTAGAATGGGGGATCCACTGCTCTGTCAGGACGTGAGGTTTAAGCATGAGTTCAGGGTGCGGTTTCCATGTGGGCGTTTTAAGCTTTCTGAGGTAAGAGCTAAAAGCGCTAGGCCTTTCGACAGTGGCCCAGGTCATAATATTTCCACTTGAAGTTAGCTTGCATTGGGAATGGGACAAATGAGCTCTAATTTCAGGTTTATTTCACTTACGGTATCACTAAGGGGTATGTCTACACGACACTCTTCTTCCGGAAAAAACTACGCAAATTGTGTAGTTTTTTCTGCTTCTTTTTTCAGAAGAGCCTTTTCCAACACTTGGACCATCTACATTGGGCCAAATGTCAGAAACACCCCCTTTTTCGGAACATCCCTTCTTTCTCGTAAAATGAGGTACACAGGGAGGCTGAAAAAAGCATGTCTGCTCTTCTGAAAAGATATTTTGAAAGAGCAGGGCTACGTCAAGACTGGCATGATTTTCCGGAAATGCTTTTAACGGAAAAGTTTTCCGTTAAAAGCATTTTTGGAAAAGAGCGTTTAGATTGGCACGGACACTTTTCCGCAAAAGCACTTTTTGCGGAAAAGCATCCGTGGCCAATCTAGACGCGCTTTTCCACAAAAAAGCCCCGATCGCCATTTTCGCGATCGGGGCTTTTTTGCGGAAAACAAATCTGAGCTGTCTACACTGGCCCTTTTGTGCTCTATAGCAGAGCCCTCCCTTTCTTGGAGACCCAATCCTGTTCCAGGCACATCCTATTGTCCTGGCACAGCCTCACCCTGCCCTTGCTTTGAGTTGTGAAGCTGGTGAGGAAGCTGCTTACCAAATTTGCTACCGGGAAGCAGGGGGGAAGGGGACAGAGGGACTTCTGGCAGTGCTACTCCTTTCCCCACTGGGAGGGACAGCAAGGAAAGGCGCAAAACTGGCAGACCTATCCCTGCTCCCGTACACAGAGGCGGAGCTCCGTGGAGAGGCTGGGGGAGGAGCTTCTTTCACCCAGTAAGGAGCAGAACATCCATCTCTAAGCCCTGCCTCTGTGCAAAGCTGCCTCTTCTCTGTGGGCAAGGCAGGGGGAAGGTGGCTCATTTGCACACCCGATCCATACTCCAGCCTTAAAAGAGGAAACTCAAATTCAGAAGGAGGGGCTTAGCATGGCGGCAGCATGTGACCCTGGCCAGGGAAACTCAGGGAAGGAGAGTATGGGTGTGTCTAGACTACAGGGTTTTGTTGACAAAAGTGGACTTTTGTCAACAAAACTATACCTGCGTCCACACTACCGCTGAGTTCTGTTGACATAACGTCGACAGAACTCAGCAGTTTTGTCGACGCTGGTAAACCTCATTTTACGAGGCATAACGCCTTCTGTTGACAGAGTTTCTGTCGACAGAAGGTGTTATTGCATGTAAACTGTCCTTTGCGTCTACACTACCATGTCGACAAAGCAGCTTGCTTTGTCGACAGAAGCCTGTAGTCTAGACGTACCCCAAAAGAGCAAAGCACCACCCTGCTAGTAGCAGCTACTGGTGAAACAAACCAACCAGGGACAAGAGAGCCAGAAAAATGTGGCCCCTGCTGCCGTTCAGGGTCTTACAATGGCCTCTCTGGGGCCACGTTCCTATCAAGCCCTAGCAAGGCCTCTATTTGGAGCACCCTCAAATACAACCCTCCCTCCTGGAGTTGCCTCATTTCTCCCCTTCCACTGCTTTTCCTGAGGAGGCGGGAGGGGAGGCCAATGCTAACGTGGTGGCGTCCCGAGTCCCCCGTTCTAGCAACCAGGAGTGTTATACTTGTAAGACACACATGGGAGAACAGCCAATATGTTGGGGAGAGATAGCTCAGTGGTTTGAGCATTGGCCTCCTAAACCCAGGGTTGAGAGTTCAATCCTTGTGGAGGCCATTTGGGGAAAAAATTTGTCAGGGATGGTACTTGGTCCTGCTGTGAAGGCAGGGGACTAGACTCGATGACCTTTCAAGGTCCCTTCCAGTTCTAGGAGATAGGCAATCTCCATTATTATATTTTATATACTGCATTTATTGGAAACACAAGAGAAGCAGCTTATGCATTCACACACACTCACATACATAGGTCCTGAGTATAGTCTTGCAGTTACCAGTCTGTCGTAGCTCGAATTGATCTAGTGGCCAATTAGACTGAACACGAGTGAGAAGTGGGGTTCTGTCGGACGTGATCCAACGTGCTGAGCTGCCGCAGGACTGAACCCAGAGCTGCCAGGTGAAACGCCCCACCTTTATACTCCAGTTCCCATGTGAGTCTACGGATTTTCATCCTTGAGCGGTGTTTCTCTCGGAGTTTTCAACTGTTCTCCTTGGATGTGTCCCCATCGTTTACAAGTTTCTCGCTTCTTCTTGAGCACCGGGACATGCGTGGCGGCTTTCGCACTTAGCTGTGCGCATCCCCCTCTACTCACACCAGTTTTAGAGAGGATTTCAGACAGGGTTACATCTTCAAAAGGGTTACACAGTGGCAAAAGAAACAACAAAATAATCTTACACAACTTAAGTTTGCAATGCAGACCAGAAGCACAACTGAATGTGTAATGCTAACAATAAGAAAACCTTATTGCATGTACCGTCATAAAACCATATCCTTAAAAAATGACCTTCCGGGCTGGCAGGGTGAATCAGAAGCATAGAGAACTTATCAGCAAATCAATATATAGGACTTATTACCGTATCGTACTTATAGCCTTATACCAACACTAAAACACTACAGGAGGGGGCTGCATGAGGGGATGTGCCCATCCCAGCTGTGCAGGGACCCATCCAGACTGGCAGGACTCTGGGCACAGATAGGACTCGGAACAAGAGATCTTCCGGGGAACGTGAGCAGAGTATGAAATACTGGTGGCCACCCTCCTGGGGCACAGGTCTCTTTTTCTAGGGCTGTTTCTGAACATAAAGAATTGAGGGGTAAAAGCAGCAAGAAGGTGGGGAGAAATTAACAGGAAGGAAAGACGAGGGGAAGTGTGACATTTGTGGGGCTGGGTCAGTATTGCAAGCCCCGTTATTCCGCCTTGCCCGTGGGAACCTTACATCACCAGGCCGCCCTGAATTTCCAGTGTGAGCCCTCAGACGGCCTGCGCCCATGGGGGTGGGGTGAGCCTGGAGCATCAGTCTACAGCTCAACCAACTGACACTGAAGCAGGGTATCAGTTAAATCGGCAGAAGAAATAAAAAGGCCTGATTGGCCAATAGAAGTTTTACAATTTATACACAAGAATGAAGTTGTCTGGACTATTAAAAAGGCAGAATGTGGGAAACGGAAGCAGTGGCATTGATTAATGCTGATTAATAACTGATTAATATTGATTTGGGTTGGACATTCGGGAAAACTTCCTGTCAGGGTGGTTAAATAGCTCCCAGGACCTTATCAAAATGACTAAAATGGAAGAGACAGGGTCAGGATGTAATAATGCAGTCGAGTAAGGAAAAGCTTATTGGTTAATGCTATAGACTACACACATCTCCCCTCTCTCCCCCCACCAGTAAATTTTTTTAGCAGGCTGGCCAGCAGCCCGGCTCAGTCCTGGCACAGAGTTGCAGACAGCTCCTTGGGAATGGGGCCAGAGCACCTTGGCTCCTGGTCCTGCTGGCGGGGACTATAGAATATCGAGTAACTGATAAAAATTCATGAGGTTAATCGACTATTCAATTAACAGATACTTAACATCCCTAAGACAGGGATGACCTACCTTCAATGAAGAGAGAAGAAAGTTCTAGCAAATAGGATGGCATCAGGAGCTTAGAAAGATCTTGAATCCCAGATTGCATCAGGAGAGGAGTTTAGAAAGATCTAGAATCCAAGATGGCATCTGGGGAGGAGATTTCCTATCTAAAACAGGGATGACAGCAGGGGAGGAGCTAGAAAATCCGGCAGCCGATTGGTTGAACAAAGCTGGCCTCAAGCGAGCAACAGCCACCAGGATTAGGCATAGTGGGGACATTCCGCTAACAGGCGGAAAGTTGTGGATTTGAGGCTTCGCAGAAGAACAGACGCTGCTGGAGAAGAACAGAACACCCTGAAAAGCGAATTCTACGGTCATCCCAGCAAGAGCTCTGATAGCAGCAGTCCCTGTCAAGCAGCAACGCCTGCAGACTGAAGCAGCAGCAAGGAGAAGCATGGCTTTGCATCGTTAACAGCACCCTTCCCGACAAATCAGAAGGACTACTGAGATCAACCAAAGGGAACTGGGGGTATGTAAGCATGTCTGATTTTTCCCCCTATGTTATTAAGGCACGCATGGGTCTGTCTGGAGAGATTCAAATGATTAATTGGTTAACCGAGCCCCCACAGCTAGATTGTGTGTTTCTACTGGTGGTGCACCTAAAATATTTATTCTGCACATGAATAGAAAAAGCTTAGCGGGAATGTTGGAGCTGGGCATGTGTGTGAGGAGTGTGGGGGGATAAGAGCTTCAGAGAGGGCAGGAGGAGGGGATAAAGGCCGCCCTGCCTCGAGATTCGTACAAAAGTTGCTTATACAAAGTTCTCTGTTCATGTGCACAGGCGCTCTCCAGCCAAAGCGAGGAATGTGGTAAACTGTGCACTTTCCCCTTGCTCCTTAACAGGGAGGAAATGGAACAGCCAGAAACATCCCTGTACGAATTGAGGGTGGGGGGGCAGAGAGTAGCTTTAGCCCTCCCCATTCCGAAAGGGCGCCTGGAAGCCGGCGGCTCAGGGCTAGGGCTAGGGCAGACCCGGATGGAGAGAAGGGGCGCCCCCAGCCAGCCCCTTTCATCTGCCTCGTGATTCTGTCTCTTTTCCGTGTGGTTCTCTGAGAAGCAATCCCATTCCAGGCCCATCCCATTGTCCGGTCACAAGCAAACCTTGACCTTGCTTTAAGTTGTGAAACAGGGAAGCTCTATACCAAACTTGATGGCACTAGCCCTTATCATGCTATGAGGAGTTCTTGAACAAACACACAGAAAGACTCTGTAAAATATATATTCGATTGTATTAAGTATAGGATTAGATAGTAACATTAAAATTAAACCCCCTTGCGTCTGAGGTTTCTTTATATGCGTATTACATTGAAACGACTGTATCCTTTGTATGTATTAAATAGCGCATGCAGACCGTGTCTCTTATTTTGTTGCGTTGCTTTATCATGCAACTCTGAAAAGTAATTATAGTGTGGTTTATTCAATTCTATACCGCTTTTCTTGCTTCATTAAACCCACTGAAACGTCTATTTCTATTAAGTAATTCTGCCGGTTTGCGGAGCCCTTTAGCAGTGAAAGTGCCTTGCCCTGTAATACCCTTAATCGGTATTTCCCAAGTTATCAAAACAGAACACATACGCTCATCTTAGAAAAGAGGAGACTAAGGGAGGATAGGATAGAGGTCTATAAAGTCACGACAGGTATGGAGAAAACAAATAAAGAAAAGTTATTGACATGTTCCCATAAAATAAGAACTAGAGGTAACCAGATTTTAAAAAACAAAAAGAAGTATTTTTTATCAGTGCAGTCAACCTGTGGAACTCCTTGCCACAGGATGTTGTAAAGACTAGGACTTTAACAGGGTTCAAAAAAGAACTGGATAAATTCAGGTCCATCAATGGCTATTAGCCAGGATGGGTAGGAATTTCTCTGGAGGTGGTAACAGGGAAGGGATCACATGATGATTCCCTGTTGTGTTCCCTCCCTCTGGAGCATCTGACATTGGCCACTATCAGCAGACAGGACACTGGGCTGGATGGACCTTTGGTCTCACCCAATATGGCCGTTCCTATGTTCTTAAGCATAAAATGCCCACCACTCCCAATAAGGCCAACAAGGTTTTCCTACTGACCAACCAGAATCAGGGTGTCTGGTGTTCTTGCGCAATATAGTTGGCAGCGTACTGAGGTCTGGCAGTTCTCATCTTGGGCTTTGCCCTGGAACGAGGTTCCAAAGAACTTCCTTTTCCACCCCAATTTACACAGTTAAACTGGAGCCCCGCTTAGCTGCACCATAATCTTTTTAACACAACAGTATTTCTGAATGAAACCTACCCCATTATGAAATTAATTATGTAACCAGTTATACCTCACCACTCTTGTTGACCGAACACTTGCAAAATTAGTTACGCAACAGGCAGAAACAACCCAAGAATCAAAGATAATCCAGATAAATAATAGAAAAGTAGGAACCATAAATCACAACAGTTGATAAGTAACTTCTCTCAAACTTTCAGCATCTTAAGATCCGCTTCTTTATCTGGCGGCGGTGGGCATTATTAGCTCATGACTGCCAGATATTACATTGCTTTGATGTAATTTCGACTTTGCAGCAGGGGATCTCAAACTCAATTTACCTTAGGGCCAGTCCTCAAATCCTCCCAGCGGTCCAATAATGTCACTGAAGATGGTGTTCGGAGGGAAAAAAAAAGTGTATTGTATTTTTTATTTCAAATTTCTTAGAATGAAAAAAACCCCCAAAACCCTTGTCATACAAATTTATACAACCCTTCGCCTGCCGTAGAGGCTTCAGCGTTTGCCAGACACTCGGAAACACTTCAGTTCTGTCAGTCTGAGGATGTTTGGCCTCAGGGACTGAACAGTTGAAACCTTCATGGTGGCCGCCAGGTGTGCATCGGAGAGCTGAGTTCGGTGTTTTAATCTGTTCATTGCAGAAAAAAGAGTCTCATAAATGTAAGTGCTGCCAAACAAAGACATGATTTTTCTGAAGGCTTTGCAAAGATTTGGGAATGACGGTGGCAGCTGTTTGAAGAACTCTATGACATCCTCTGTTTCTCTGAATTTAGTCTTTAAAGAGGAATTGCACTGCATATCAATGAGCTCCATTTGTAAATCACACGGCACGGTTTCCACGTCGACCGAAAATGGGTTTGCAAACATATTGAAGCTTTCCTTGTGCATTTTGAAGCCTGCAAGCCGCTGATCAAATTCTTGCAGAAGCAGGTCAAGCTTATTAGCATATACAGGACCACTGAACGATGTTTCAGGGCCAAGCTCTTCCACAAGTGACTTGCACGTTGGGAAATGAGTGAGATTCCCATGAGAAATCTGATTTTTCCACAATTTTAGCTTTGTTGTGAATGCTCTCACATTGTCATACACTGCTGTCACCAGGTGATCGGAGTCTTGCAGCTTCAAATTTAGGATATTCAGCTCCTGTGTGACATCAACAAGGAAAGCAAGATCCGTCATCCATCTAGGGTCTTCAAATTCTGGTACAGGCACTTTAATCTCTTCCATGAACCTTTTCACCTCTGTTTTCAATTCAAAGAATCTCTTTAAAGCAGAACCCCTGCTCAGCCAGTACACCTCAGTGAAGTAGAGCATGTCGCCGTATTTAGATTCGATTTCCTCTAAGAAAGCACGCAGTTGTCTGCGCTGTAAGCCCCTCGAGCGAATGAAATTCATGCATTTCACAACCACCGACAAGACGTTGTCAAATTTCAAAGACTTACTGCACACTGTTTGCTGGTGAATGATGCAATGTAACACTACTGGTTGCTCAGTGTTTTCCTCAGTCATCTTTCTTTGCACTAGCGGTACCAATCCGTTTTGTGGATCGACCATTACTGGGGCTCCATCAGTGGTTAAGCCCGCTAACAAGTGCCACGGGAGACCATGTTGTTCCAGTGCTTCTGTGAGGCAGTGAAAAATTTTATTGGCAGTTGTTCTACCACGCACTGTTGCCAAGCTGAGTAATTCTTCGGTTACAGCAAAGTTTTCATCAACGCCTCGCACAAATATCGCAAGCTGCGGACTGTCAATCAAACTGGTACTATCGACTGCGATTGAATAGGCACAGAAAGTTGTGCTTTTTTCGATGAGCTGCCCATCGATGTCTTTAGAGAGCTCAAGAATACGCTCTGCTATTGCATTTGGAGATAGGCTGATATTGCTGAAAACATCTCTCCTATCGGGACAGACAAACTCACTGACTTTAACAATACACTGTTTAATGAATTCACCATCAGTGAATGGCTTCCCACACTTCGCAATCATTTCACTCACGGCATAACTTGCCAAAACCGCTGACTCTTTTCTCACTTTCTGAAAAAGCTGCTGCTGCTTCACTACTTCTCTTTTCAGTTGTAAGACCATCCTCTCTCTCTCTTCTCCCTGAAATTTATCATAGAGCTGTGCATGTTTCGTTGTGTAATGTCGCTTAATATTGTACTCTTTTAAAACGGAAACTCTGTGTTGGCAGATCAAGCATGAAGCACTCTGTTTGCACCCGATGACAAAATAATCCACAGTCCATTTATCTTGGAATCGGCGACGTTCGTCGTCAACTTTCCTTTTTTTAGGTGGAGACGTCTCTTTGTATGGCTGTTTATAAGCAACCCCCGAAGGGACCATCTGAAAGAAATTTGAAGGAAAACAATTGTTAGCCTCCACTTTCCCCACATTGGTTTATTTTGTGTATTTGATGGCGTTTTGTGTTCTGTCGTTTCTCCTCTGTCTCCTGCTCAGTTGGGCCAATTGCTAGTGGGAGGGTTTTTCACACAGAAACAGGGAAAGAATGCAAGTAGGAAACAGTGGGAGAGCTGTGGAACTGGAAGAGACAGCACTGAAAGCTTAATCTTAAAATTAACTTGCATGAGTCATTGGAGAGGGGTTGTACTAATGTTTTCACTCTCTCCTCCTGGGCTGGCTATTACAAAACAAAGTAGGGCTGTCAATTGACATTCATTAATGCTTGCGATTAACACAGGGCAGGATTAACGCGTTAATTTTTTAAACGCATTAATCGTAGGCATTAATGCTGCGCTGCCTCTTTGAAGTGCCGCTCCAGCTGACCTCGGACTCCACTGCCCCTTTTAAACATGCGGAGGCAGCTGTGCGTCGACTGCCCCTTTGAAACGCCACCCCGGCGTTTCAAAGGGGCAGCTACCATGGAGCCCAGGTCAGCTGGGGACTGCCCAGATGATCTCGGGTTAAGGGGAAGTGCCGCGTGGAATGCCTTGCGCTGTCCCTTGGAAACGCCGCCCCGGCGCTGCAAAGGGGCAGCGCTGCATGGAGCCTGGGGTCAGCTGGGGACTCCAGCTCATCCCGGGATCCACGCAGCGCTGCCCCATTGAAACGCCACCGCAGCATTTCAAAGGGGAGGCGCACGCGATTAATCACGTGATTAATCATGATTCATTTTTTTTAATCGCTTGAGAGCCCGAACACAAGCAATTTATGTTGCGAGAGAGTATGGGACAGTAGTTGTGAATCTGGTGTGATTGTTTCCCATTGCCTTGTGCAGTCAGGCTGGGTGAGCTCACGTCTTAGTGTCCGAGCATCCAAGTAACAGAAAATGACGTTTTAACACTACAAGCGTTTCTTAAACCAACAGCAGGAGAAACGGTCAAGGCCTCTCGTCCCTGAACCCTGCTAACAGCCTACCCTCGCACAGGGATCCCCCGCACCCTTCTGGGGTAAACGAAAGGAAACTTACCGGCCAGGGTAACCGAGAGTGAAACTCACCAGATCAAGGTAAATGAAATGAAATTGACTGGCCCCCTACCCCGCTGCAGAGGTGGGTCAGCTCAGCCAACGTGCTTTGTGTCCGGCGGAGGCAGCCAGCACGGCTTCCCGGACTGAGCAGCACCCTCTATGGCTGGAAGTATGTGAGTGTTGGGGGTCTAGATGCTGCTGGTGGCTGGGTGAGTTCTCGCGTGGCCGACCTCAGTCGGCAGCTGTGCAGGCCTCAATGAAAAACTTGAAAAAAACAAAAAATTCGCAGACCGTACTGGGAATGTTCTTGGGCTGCGGATGGACTTCGGGACCGTGCCTTAGACTCAATTTGCAAACCCCAGCATGCAAGGGAGGGAGCTGCCTAAGCTAGCTAATGGGAGGTGCTGACAAGAGGTGTCCTAAGCCCCACCCCTTCAGGGAGACAAACACCTAACTCCAGGCTGTAGGTGAGACAGTCGTCTCTGCCAGCGATCCCCCACCAGAAACCCGTCTCTTGGACACCCAAGTCATTTCTTGGGGGAAATGAGCTATGCACAGAACAGCCAGAGAAGGAGTCACCTGCTTTAAAATGTTTAGCCCCAAAGTAGGAGCGCTCACCTGGCATGTGAGAAATGCAGGTTCAATTCCCCGGTCTGCCTGATGTTGGGAAAGGAGACCCTTGATTCCAGCGGTTCCCAACCTTTTCCAGATGGGGACCCATTTTGACAAGTCAGGAAGACTTGGTGACCCAAGGAAATTCAAAAACAGGGGGAGGAGGGAGGATAGAGCCACCTAGGAAGACACTTGGCAACCCTTTTGAAATGTAATGGCAACCCATATTTGGGTCCCGACCCAAAGGTTGGGAAACCCTGCTCTATTCCAACCTTACCTCCCAGGAGAGGGCTTCAACCATTATCTACAGGAAAGTCTCAAGAAAAAACTATTAATTCCCTGGAATTTTAAAATTAAATTTTTCCCGCTGCGATTTCATTCTCCTGATTATTTAGAAATAAATAACATGCCAAATACCTCATATTCCTGCGCAGCATCCTCCACAGGCATGAACATGTCAGATCTGTGCCCCAGGGTTTCGTCACAAATCACAGAGATCACCTCCCCATTTCCTTCGCAGAACAGTTTTCGTTTGTTCTCCTCCGCCGCCACACTACACATTGTCTGTTCTTTCTGGTCCTCCAGTTTTATTTCTAATTGCGGGATTGTTTCCACTGGAATTTCTCGGTCTTCCATTTGTTCCTGCACTGTGGGCAGAAAACGTCCTCTTCTTCGGTTTCCAATTTTGCATAGTACGCCGGGATGCAAAATCGGCAGAAGCTTTGCTCAGAGTCCATGCTCACCGGATCACTGAAATAATCCAGACAGATGGGACAACGCGACGCTCCTTCTGGTAGCTTTCTCGGAGGATGGGCAGAGGCTATGGCGGTAGTTAAGAGTTTCAGTGATCAGCTTCACGTAAGGAGTTGTACTCTAACTGAAAATCAGATGACATTGTAATAGTGAGGTTTATAAACCATTGGCAACACCTTACTAAAAGAAAGGGCAGCGTTTCCCACCTCATCTTTGCCTTTCTAAAACCTCGGCTGTACACTGAAAGAAATGAAACCATCTAGAGCAGCGGTTCCCAACCGTTTCCAGATGAGGATCCATTTTGACAATTCAGGAAGACTTGGTGACCCAAGGCAATTCAAAAATGGGGGGAGGAGGGAGGGCAGAACCACCTGGGGAGACACTTGGTGACCCTTTTGAAATGTAATGGCGACCCATATTTGGGTCCCGACCCCTAGGTTAGGAAACCCTGATCTAGATTGAATCCCCTGCATACCGCAGACCAGAGAATTTCACCCAGCAATTCCTGCATCCCACCGATAATCTGTGGTAGTGGTAAAGCAGATCTTTTAGGTATGTTTACACAGCAGCATTATTTCGGAATAACTGATGTTACTCCGAAATAACATTGTGCGCGTTGACACAGTAAGCCATTGTTTCGAAATCATGTCGGGCTGGAGGACATCTTACTCCGACTCCTGCAACCCTCATTTCACAGAGGAGTAAGGGAAGTCGGAAGGAGAGCGCTCTTCCTTCGACTTCCTGCCATGTAGACAATGCCAAAAGCCAAGTTAAGCTATTTCGACTTCAGCTACGCAACTGACATAGCTGAAATTGTGTCGCGTACTTCAATCTTTGCCCAGCTGTGTAGACGCACCCTTCAGAAAGCAACGCCAATCTTGACTTAAAATCTCCAAAGGATGGAGGCTTCACCGTGTCTCCCGGCCAATTGTTTCAGCGGTTAATTACCCACACTGTTATTAAATTGCTAAAACCCTGCCGCCTCCCACCGAACTGGCCCCGCCGGCTTCCCTAGGCTCTGCAGGAGTTGATGTTCCCGCCTAGTTTTGTTCTCCATCCCTCTTAGAAGTACTGGCGGGAAATGGGGGCAGTGGGGGGCAGGAGGAGTTGGGGGGGCAGGGGAAGTGGGGGG